CTTCTGTCTTGTTTCGTAAATCACAAAAATAATTAATGTCGCGTACGCACATGGCTTGCTGACTAAGTGATATGCGAGTTTACCAATATTTATGTGTTTTCAAAGATGATTTCAGATAATGAACTTAATAAAACATAACTGCACATATATAATATATTAAATGCCCCTGATTAAATTTTAGGTGTAGTTGAAAATCAACCATGTATATTATAAGCCTACCTTCTATATATGTGGAGTTTTATCACTATTTTTAATTTTTCAATATTACTATGTTTGATTACTACTACTCAAATAAAATTACAAATTTTAATTAAATATGAAATTTCATAACTACAGAAGACATTTGCAAAAATTGTGCACTGATGACTAATGTTTGTTATTTATAACCAATACTACTTATATTATCTTATACATGTGAACGTAGAAATGTAATTGAATATATAAGAGGATCGCTGTCTTTTTATTGAAAGATGTAGGCTTTTAGGCAGACGGTTCGTGAATTTAATCGGATGCTTACGAAAAAAATGAACAAGGAAAATGTTTTGTGTCTGTTTTTGTTCGTATTTCCTATCCAATTTTGCGTAAGATACACATTTATTACACACATAAATACATATAAAAGTCACACTTTACACACATATAAGTCAGTGCAAATTTTTCATCTTATTTATTAGACGAGTAAATCTTTTCATAAAGTAGTAGTATTGACATTTAGAGCTCTAAAAATACAAACACAATTGTGTAAATTTAACGAGCTATCTAAAATTATGAGAAATATATTATATATATATTTTTTATGGGATAGGGGGCAGACGAGCAGACGGATCAGCTGATGGTAAGTGATTACCGTCGCCCATGAAACCTGCAACACCAGAGGGACTACAAGCGCGCTGCCGGCCTTTGAAAAAATATCGTCATACTAATGCAAAACGAAATACAAGAAGGAATTTCAATTTTATTTAATATTCCAATTCATAGTCACACTTCACTTTCATCAAACAAAAAACCTAAGGTATTTTTATATCATAGATAAAACTAAGCGTGAAATATTGAAGGACAAAATTGTGCAAGTATTACGTAATGTTTGTCGTATTATAACAATACAACGATATTAATATATTATTTCTGTATACGAAAAACGTTATGATTTGTCAGACCGTACTATTATTTGTCGTCTGAAATGCGCAATAAAGAAACATGGATTATTATATAAGGAAACGTCGAGTTTTCTTTGCTAAAACGAATTAATGAATAAAGCTAATCAAGTTCTTGTTTTTCTTCAAAAAAATTATATTACATTTATATTTAATACATTTATAATTATTGAACTAACGTCGTTTCGCTTTTCGCGCCACATGTCTGTGGATATTTATTGGCGGAAACCGCTACGATTGCTTAGACAAAACCATCTAGTGAGTGTCGTGGCCTTCTATTCAAGTCTACTAATATTAAAAGTGCGAAATTTTATGAGGATGGATTTGTATTTATCACTCTTTCACGGTTAAACCGGATTGTAACTTTGATATACGGATAATTCTAAGCCTCGATTAACATACAGAATATTTATTTTCCCACTAAACGGTTCCCAGAGACCACATGGTCGAAGCCTTTGGCGGAAAGCTAATATGCAATAATAAAAGAATAAAATCACATTACATACATTGCTCAGATCCTAAATTAGTACTAAGTACCTAACACTTGTAACAAGGAAATTCAAAACAATGAAAAGTATTAGTATTGCTCTTTGCCTGGAAAATGTGTATAGCACTGAAGATATCATCCGTCGTTGTAGGCAGAAGAAACCTTTCATCACAGTCAATATCGAAAAACCACCCAAGAATTGTTCGAACGTACACGCAGCGTGCACATATGCACATAAATAGTTAATTTTAAAAACTTTCACTTTTAAAAATCAAGACTATCAAACACTGCCGTACCATCCTTACGGAAGGTTTGAAGGTCTCTGAATATGATTATAACACTGAAATTATTGTTATCTAGAAAACTATAATTAAGTTATTTAAACCCAAATTTATGCAACAGTAAAGTGTGTTAATTCGACACTAACTGATTCACTGACTCATCAAATAGAACTCGTACTTCCCATAAACCTAAAGAGCGAAAATTTAGCACAGAGGTTTAGTGCAGGTAAAATTATTAGGATCATCGAAGATCTGGGGCACCTGATTACCTTGAGGAGAAATTGTAACAGACCAGACAAACTATTAAACTGTTAGAAACTATTAGACTGTGTTCCCAAAATTTAATTATGCACAATTAACCCTTTATTTTCAAATTACAAAATTGAATGTCTAGAGTTTTACACGCTACAAGCTTTTCAAGTCAATTACTGTAAGAAAAAAAATTGATTTGAAAAAAAGTACTTTAACGGTGCTATTAATAAACAAGGTTGAGCTTCAGAGTAAATTTTCGCTATAATTACAATTTTTAGTTTTAGTCTCAATTCTTATTATATAAAGAATAAGCAAACCTACTACCTTCTAGTAGTTAATGTTACTCCAGAAGAACCTCGTACTACTTAAATCTCTGCTAAGTATCTGTTCAATAATGTGAATTTTGACTAATACTGAATGCAGTCTCAGCATAAATGTACTCCAACGCTAAACCTTTTATTTATAACACTGTAAATCTTTAGAATTTATTTATTTACGTTTTAGTGCGCACAAATAAAAGCTACTTTAAAAAAATATATTTTATTTTTATTTGTTACTTTTTAGTTTTGTCTCAATATGTTATTTTCAATTGAAATGGATTCGGTAGTTTCAAAGTGCGGAACCCTAAAAATCAATAATTCTCTGCCATGACCTTTGAACGACTTCAAATTGTCTAGCAGATAATACATCAAGGTTCATTCCAGGGCCTACTAATGAAATCAGCTGACAGTGCACAATTAGACAACCCCCCACAGAAGTTTCTATTAATGATAACAAAGACAAATGTATCATACAAAAAGAGAGGACACAATAATTAAAAAATATAGAAGAGATTATAATATACTCATTTTCAATTAAATGTATCATTGAAGCAATTCGATTATTGAGACAAATTTCAAGGACCCAAGAGAATGTAAAGCAAATATTTATAAAAAATAAAAAAAAATACAAAATAGTTTATTGCTGAAATCATTCAGTTACAAAATTAATACGCCGGGACTTCCCAGTGAGTAATCAAAGACATTCGTTATGGGAATGACACGCAACTTCCCCATTGTCTATCAAAGATTACATACAAATTTTCATACAATTTTGATTTTATTATTTATACGATATGATGTTAATAAGGTAAGGTAAGTATACGAATATCTATATAATTTCAAAGAAGAAGGTAATAAACTCTTATTATCTATGAATCTGTAATGTCTTTATACTATAGGGCAAAGGTGAACCAGCATAATCAATTAATATATACTTAGAACCACGAATGAGACTAGTACATGTCTATTTGCTACATCAAACATGCCAAAATACATTATATCTATGTTTTCACGCTTGGACTGGCTTCTGTACCTCTAGTAAGAGTTTGATTTTTAAACCTATTGCTTATAACTAAAGCATTTGTATAATTTAGGATATTGTTTATAGTTTGTGTTGAAATTTTATTTAAAGCATCAAATTACTCAACAGACCGCTCTTCACATTTTTATTGTGGTACCTTGTACACGTTTAAAAAATGAAAATATAATGACACACCGAGCCCGTAGGTCTAGTATTCGTTTTTGAAAACTGTCTTTGTTACCTTTTGATTCCATATATTTCAAAACGGCGCTTCTAGCGCTAAACGGTATAATAAACAAGAAAATGGTAGTTATCGAATAGTTTTCGAGTAAACGGCAGTATGAGTTACAAGTTTACCTTCTGCCTAATTAAAAGAAAACATAACTGAAACCGAAGAAAACATAGTTTTATCATTTGATTAAAATTTTCATCTGAGAAAGAGGATTTTTCCCTTATATTTTCTTAATGAAAATTGCTTAAAAAATCCTTCAGCTCCAGGTACTCCGAGATAACTCGAACCCACGACCTTCGCAATCAGAAAGCAAAAGAATTCGTGACATACGGATAGTCATCAAAAATCGGGATGGGTGGCAATCCTGAACGCGAGACATGTACCTCTGTGTATCGACGTTTTTTGCAGTCGACTGCGAAACCGTACTGATATGTACGCAGCTATTTCATCAAACTAATAACGGGAACATTGCCGTACAACTAACAAAATTTTGCAAATGTTTCATATTCGCATGCGATTGCATCTGCCGTCTTTAATACTTACTTACCCGTATTGCGTTCACAAATTATGCCCTAACAGTAAGGACATTCATGGAGATTATGCACCCGATACCGATATTGATGTAGCAGCTACGATTCTTTATGAGAAATGTCGTAACGCTCGTAGTCCGTAGCAGTATATGTAACGTCGCCGTCAGAGTCATTTGAAATGCAACTAGTTCTAGTTTATCATGATATTACTTTACGCAAAACAATCCTGCTTGGATATTTTATTCTCCGTATTTTATTATGAAATTATAATATTGTTTGCGTACGTGTCTAGGTTTAGACAGACTCAGCTTTTATAAATGTAATATAAAAATATATTGGATTTCCAGTAATTACTTGTTCAGACAGTTTTGTTATTATAATACGATTTCTTGTTTACTGTTGTCTTACTGTAAGTATAATATTTTTAAAGTTATTGACCTCACGGTTGGAACTCAATATTAATTTAGAGGAATTTCACAGATAATTTACTTTTGTGTTCATCGTGACTGACCTAAACTAAAACTAAAAGTTAGTTAGAAAGTGTCATGAACAGAATTTCTAAAACATTGCTATTTTCTAGATTTTCTGTACCTAAATAACCACTAGGTAACATTTTCATAATACAACTAGCAATTTTCTCGCGAGTTTGCCTGCGTGAGTTATAACGTAGTTTTATAATCATAAAGCTAACCTTATGATTACGATAAAAATAAGCTTTTTTACCTGATCACCCATGCCTGTGATGATGGGTGTGTTCCAGTAGGCTGCGAGCCTTGCGACTGGTTCCAGGGCGAACGCGCACGCAGGCCCTATGAAAGCTATCACGTCGTCCTTGAAGTGCATGTCAGCCGCCAAACCAGGAGCTATAGCACCGGAGCAAGAGGGGTAGCTGCCGACAAAACATACACATTATTACACGAAAACTATCATCAATCCTTACTAATATTATAAATTATAAAAGTAAATCTGTCACGCTTTCACGCCTAAACCACTGAATCGGTCAACAGATAAGAATCATGCACGGTTCATTTCTCTCTCTCTCTCTGCGCTCGTTCATTTCTTTAGACTTTATTATTTCATACTAAGTCTACAATAGACACTAGTCTCCCACAAATAAACACGAAAATAATTTGTAAAAATATATACAGTGGTAGCCATATAATTAAGAACGATTTTTAGTTATAGAATGTTTTAAATGAAACTTGCCCTATTTTTTCTAATATTAGGTTTTGTAAGTATTTATTTACTTACGTATTCAGAGAGCCAGTTAGTTAAGATCAACTTTACTAGGATAGACATATAAAATTATTTATTGTGGTCAGTATTATATATATATATATATATATATATATATATATATATATATATATATATATACGAGGGTCAAACTGAAAGTTCTTAGAAAATCAAAAACTGATTACATTAGCCAGTTATTAGTTTTATTATATCTTTTCAAAATATTGTCCATTCACGTCAATACACCGCTGCATGCGATGGAACCACTGGGAAAAGCACTTTGCCCACTCGTCCTTAGGGGTCTCTTCAATGGCATCGCGATACGCAGCCACCGCTTCTTCAGCATTCATAAACCGCTTTCCTTTAAGTTTTTCTTTAATTTTTGGAAATAAATAAAAATCACAAGGCGCGAGGTCGGGGCTATACGGCGGGTGACCCAGTAATTCAACGTTTGATGTCGCCAAATAGTCGATCGTTCGCTTGGCGGTGTGCGACGAGGCGTTGTCGTGGTGAAGGAGGATCCTACTGCGAGGTCGTTTCTCTCGAACTTTTTCCAAGACAAGTGGCAAACAATCGGTAGTGTACCATTCTGCAGAAACTGTTTTTTGATCCTCTAACACAATTGTTGCAAAATGACCTATCCTTCCAAAGAACGAGGCCACCATTTTTTTTCCCGCACTTCGATCTCTCTTCACTTTAGTTGGCAACTCCTCGAAAGGAAACACCCACTGAGCAGATTGTCTTTTGGTTTTAGGATCATAACAGTAAATCCAGCTTTCGTCACCTGTTAGTATGTCGAACACAGCATTTGAGTCACCTCCGTTAAATCTTTCAATCATTTTACGACACCAATCCACACGATGGAGTTTTTGAGCCTCAGTCAAATTATGAGGTATCCACCGGGCGCAAAGCTTCCTGACCGCTAAATGTTCGTGGAGGATTTTGTGCACTTGACTCATACCGATGCCTAAGCTTGTCCGAATCTGTTGATAGGTCACTCTTTTGTCAGTCTCTATCATACGCCGCACAACACAGATGTTATCTTCAGTCGTCGCCGTAGAAGGCCGTCCCTCACGTAAATCATCAGTGAGATTAGTGCGACCACGTTTAAACTCATTAAACCAGTTGTAAACAGTCGCACGAGATCGGGCTTCATCGTGAAAGGCCAATCGTAGTCTATCATAACTTTCTTGTTGACTTAAATGACATCGAAAGTCATAAAAAATCATTGCACGAAAATTTTCTCGTGTTAAATTCATGATGACGTGACACAGACAATTTTCAATTTGCCGCCAAATCGTAAAACAAATGACAAATGAATGAAATATATACTCAGTAATATTGGCAAAGAGTTATATTTTCAAATTTTAGAATTATTTTTTTATTATATTGTTTATAAGTGGCCAGTTCTAAGAACTTTCAGTTTGACCCTCGTAATACTGACCATATATATATATATATATATGATAATGAGCAAGTAATTAAAAACGATACTCTTAAGCTGTTCTTACACTGTTTTAGCATAGGTACCTTTCTTGCTATCCTGCCGAATAACTTTTCTTCTACTAAACGCCTTCGAATAGTGCGTGCCGAGAGCGCATAGGGGTTTCCTTCGCCAAAACATTCCTTTCGTATCTCGACTCTTTGAAAGGATTTAATTTCGCCAGACGAAAGAGATGTCTGAGATGATGTTTTCTCGGTCGCAAATTATTAAGCTTTTAGGTAACAAGAACTACTTTAGTCGGGACTCATTCAAATTATACGAAGCTTTGTTGATTGGTCAAAAAGGAATGGGTCCTGACTGTTGATCCTTCTATTCTACTTTTGAATTTATGATATGTTTTATGTGGGTATAGATTTTAAAACTATTTCAATATAGCAGCTATTCAGTAGTACATAATAACATTCCAAACTACTGTACTTGCTTTTTCTTTTTAGTTTTTAGTGAAAATAATGATGTACTTTTTTCACTATTTTATTTTGGTTTCCACACAGTCGAGTTTTTTGTTTTTTATAATTAAATTTTTATTTTAAAATTAATTACATTCCCTAGTTCTTTGTTTGAATATGAATAAAAAATAAATAGTTTGCGTTCTTAATTATATGACCAGCCAGTAAGAAGTAATACTTGGATTAAATTTTACGTTTTTTATTCGTGTTTTATTAAATCCAATTTATAGAAAAGTACCAAAAATGTAGAAAGATTTTGTAAGATGTAAAGGGAGCGTTCTTAATTATATGGCCACCACTATATAGGTATGTACCCATAGTGAAGTATGTGCATTTGTGAGGAGAAATAAAGATATTTATTATTATTATTATTATTATGTCTGTGGCTTTATTACTTTACTACAATGTTAAAAGAGCAAACAGTATATGTCGATGTCTGTCTGTGTCTGTACATGCATGTGTCTCGCACGCTCATTGTCTAAATAGATATAAACGAACTTTAACTAATTCATCACCATCATCAACCTGTTACTGCTGGGACTCAGGCCTACCCTGTAGATGGAATCGAAAAGGGAGAATGGACCACGATCCTCCACGCAGGCTCAGTACGGATTAGTGGGTGTTAACGACAGCAGACATAGCCGAGATCACGTGCCTTCTGAAGCACGGAAGAGCTCTACATAATACATTTTTTGTCACCCAACCTATTACCGGCTTAACAACCGTATCACAGACCGAACTTAAATAATTCATATGTGAAAACAGCTGATGTTTGATAACAATTTTCCAAGGAATATCTTTGGATTCTCTTAGAACTAATTTTCCTGCCAGGATTGGAGAACAAATGATAACTTTTTGACGTTTACAAGTATATCGTAGCTTAAATAAATTTATTAGCATCCATTTCGACCTTCCAATTTCCATTTACCCATAACAAATTAATCTAATTATGTAACAGAGGCAACTGAGTTCCAATAAATAACTGAATAACGGAAAAGCATATCTCAATAAATTATATTAAGTTCGATAATCGGTTACTCTGTTTCGCCTACATACCTACGGCCACACGGATGTCGGTTAAGCACGAATAAATTCGTACTGATCCAAATAATGTTATAAATACATAATTATGTTTACATGTTACTCAATTACGAAACTGGAACGAAATAGATATTGCGTGGATAAGCCCGGGATTAAATCTTTTTATCCTTCTTAAAAGGATCCCCAAAATTGTTGAAGATAAAATCGAGGTAATTTTGCCCTACTTTTATTTAAATAATGATAATTCTTATTAATATATTGTAATTATTCGTTATAAATAAGTATTTAAAGAGATCTATAGTCTATTATAAAATGCCTTAGGTTTATCTTGTAACTGATGTTAGAACCATACACAAAAATATCTTGTAAAAAAAAATAAAATTAAAATATTGATTTAATATCTAAGCGTCGGCGACTGCTATCTTGATTGATAAACAATATGTGAGAATCTTTGTGCTTTCCAGATTTACAAAACAAATATTAATGAAATGTCTTTCTTGGAAATATGACCCTTCAAACAAATAAGATTCATGAAAGCTTCTTAGAAATAGAAAATACATTTCAGTAAAAAATAGGACTCCTTTCTTTTTAGATATAGATAAATTTGTAGTTTTTCAGTCATGTCATGTCAAGTAATATGTAGCTACGTAAATAATGTCGCCGAATTTAATGTTCCTTCCAAAAATTTAAGCAACCACACTTAAGGCTTAAAGGAATGTTAAATAAAGGGTTGCGTCTCTACACCCATGTTGTATAGAGGAAATATTTTTATTTTTATTTAACGAATAAATTAAAATACCAAGAAAAGTAATCAAATGCCTTATATGTAATTTCCTGAAAATAATTTATAAATTGTTTTTTTTTCCATAAGCCCGCAAGCAGATAAAATATTTTCTATATTTTATCTGCTTGCCGATTCGCTTGGGTTGTTTCTTTTTCTCTAAAGAATAATTTAGAAAGGAATTTGAGAATTGCAAATTAGGGATAATATTCTTAATTTACTTAGTTTCCCCTTCTAGATCGATTTGAAACATTTATTCGTCACTAGAATGCCAAATTTTCACAGGCACTTAATATGATGACGTTACGTCATATCACCACGCCAGAATTTGGTGGGGCTATTAACGTGCCTTCCTAAGCAAAAAAGAGACAATACATTTTTAGTCACCCATCCTTTGACCGACCCTTGCGAAAGCTGCTTAACCACTGCACTATCGAGCCCCTGTGGTCTCCAGTAGTTTTAGTGTAAAGGCTTTATTACATGAATTCTTGAGATGATGACTCTATATGAGGCACCTCATTACCGAATTCCTCTGGCATGTTTATTAGGGTAAACCGTTTTATCACATTCGTAGGTTTGTTATTACGGTTTATGAACAATCCACACGCTGAATACAAAAGCAGTTGGATGGGAGCGTGTCAAAAGTATATTGTTTAAGTTCAGCGCTTGGAATATTATCAAAGCTTCAATTGCCATTTTAAATGATGGCAAAGATTTAGTTTAGTATTATAATTACTTTAAAGCACTGTATACAGTATATACGTAGTTATATGTATGAATTTAATTATAGACAGGAATCTAAATTATATCTAAATTATTTTTCTAGTAACTGTAC